TGCATGTGTGCATGCGTATGTGTATGTCCTGTGAGTTGAGTTTGAGCTACAGAATGTCTAACAGCAAATAACCTGCGGTCGATGGCGTCAATGTCAATTCACCGCGTTTAATTAAATTTTCGCTTTTTATCGACGATGAAGGATGCTTGGAACGATAGGCGTTATTACAATTAAATTCCGGATCCATAAAAAGCTGAATAAATAAATGCGAAATTTGTAATTTTCAAGATTAATATACCGACAACCATTTGGACCCATTAAACAATTTGGAAACGAGCGAATTCGATACGCGCCTCTCGCTTCGAGCGATCATGCCATAAAGTGGTGTTCCGGGGATGCGGGCGGAGGTGCCAGGATGGGAGTTAGATTACTGCGGAGTCCTTCACTCGTAGGGAAACTATCGCGTGGTTCTCGATATTTTCGCGGCGCGGACCGACCGCCTGAGTTTAAATGCGACGTATCGCATTTCGTTTCCACGCAAATCGCGCATTACGCGAACAGGGCGAGATTGCTGCCACGCAACGGCTTGATTTAGATTCCTCGAGAGGGTATTGCACGTTCCCGGCACTAATCGGCTGTGAATTCGCCCACCCTGCAGGCCCCCGAATCCGCTTCGCAACATTCTTCCGCCTTCGACGCCGCCGCCGCCACGTCGCAATTATTTGAACAGCTCGGAACTTTCGTGGCCGAAGTCAATAAATGTTCGACGATGTCGAACTATGTACTATTACTTTCCGACTATTACGCCGGCTGTTCCGCAGCTATCGCATTAGTTCTTGACCCGGGAACGATAAATGCGAATGGCCATTAGACTACCACACGCGCGTTCTCGCCTACACACATGGCTCTTATAGGTTGGCTTGCATCGCGCGAGCGCTCGACGTGTGGTCGCAAGTTAGATTATCCTCCTTCAAAGATCGACAGGAACCATTTTGTTGTTTGTCGTCTCAACGACTCGCATGTACGGTTATTTGAAATCTATACGCAGAACATAGTTCAATAATATAGCATACTAGTATAATTTATAAAATTTTTTCTGCGCGACTGGGATGTAATTATACTGAAGCCAAAATTTTTATTTGACAGCAATAAATAGCAAATAGTTTGATCAGATATATATTGTAACTTGATAGTATACAAAGAAGAATGTGTATAAAATAGACTATTTTTAGTCCAAGCTTAGAATCTTTTTTATGCATGTTCTTTTATATTTTTTAATGTATTGAATCATTTTCAAACGTTAATTTCAAGCTAAACTCATGAAAAGGTATTAAAAATCGCATTTAAAATAGTACAGTTTCGTCGAAATTTGAATAAAAATTTGAGAGAGAGAGAGAGAGAGAGAGAGAGAGTTCATAACGCTTTTTTACCTTTCATTTTCTCTCTTCCTATCAAACCTTCTCCCTCAAACCTCTATTCTTACTTAATTTAACATCAACTAATCTAATCCAGTGTAACCTAACATCACCGAACCTAGAGTAGGTTTATTCATCCTCTTGTGAGGAGTGAGATCACAGACATCTATAACATATCACACTGCTAGCTTCGACTACTCCCTGTAGACGTCCCGATATATAATATACAACTCGTACAAAGGTGCGCACGCACTGTTTCGTATGCATACACGTCGACGTGTACACACGTAATACGCAGCACGGTGGATATGCGCGTTTTTTGCTTCGACTCGTTCATCAGATTCTTTATTTTCTTTCATTTGTAACTTCGCAACACTCGATACATCGAAACGCGATAAACTGAAGCTCGCGTTGCTTAAGCCGCGCGCGATCGCCTCATTTGTGAGGTCACTCCGGCCGGATAAACGCGCGGAAATGCTTCCCTCGACCCTTCCTCATGCCTCTTTCTTTCTTTCTTTCTTCCTTTTTTTGCGCTCGCGCGCCGCGGGAAATTACATATCGGGAAACCGTCGAATCCGTTCGCGACGGTTCTTTTATTGGCCGAGCCGGCTCGCTCGAATCCGCCCCGACGACTCGCGTCGGCGAGGATTTTGACGAGGGAGCTTTCCCGAGTCGGATCGAGAGGGACCGCCGTTCGCCATTCGCTCTCACGCCCGAGAGCTTGTAGTCTTTTCGCCACGGAGAGCTTTTCCGCGAGCGGCAGCCGAAGGAAATAGCTGGCAGCAACGGCGGCGGCAGCGGCGGTCAGCCAACCACCGACCGCCGCTCGTATTTCAACATTTTCGCCGGTCGGACTTCTCGAGACATTAATCCCAGAAAACTGTCTTCATTTTTACCACAAAAATATATCTCGACGTTTATCCCGGCGTTCCTTTTCATTCGTTAGCGTGCTCGTATATATACACGTACATATATCTCGCACTTTATACACACTCTGCATGTTTATCCAACAACTTTGGCAAACTGACGAAAGATTAATATCCTAATAAAACGGGAGACTATACCAGAACTCGCCATTGTGGTCGTAGACAATGAGAAGATTACTTGCGCGCGTGCATGCATATGTATAAACTCGAAAGTTCCCATTGCGGTAACTTTAGAGAAGTCGGTTGCGTTAGCAAATCGCAGACTGGTATTAATGTCCCGATACGATAATCGAGGGGCTTGTGTTTCCGCCGGCTCGATCGCCAATCGGCCGTAAAGAGAATTCGCTCGCAAAAAGAATCCCAATCAAAGGACTCGCTCATAAAACAACGCGTGTCGCTAATTTATTCAGCGCGTGCCGGCACCTCTCCCGGTCGACAAAGAGCCGTCCCGCGCTTCATCGGTGTCCGTTCTAAACCACCACAACCAGTACCGCTTCGGCAGGATTCCCGTAGATTTCCATCTCACCTTCTTCGACGCGGCATCCTCTTAAGCGCCCTTTGAAGTCATTCTTTCCCATTTCCATAGTGCCACAGGCCCGTTTGAGCCCTTTGCATACCCTCACGCTCCGTATGCAGGCTTTATTTGTGCAGGCTGATAGAGAGGAGCTCCATAAGGCGATCGTGGGTGCGCGGTTCGGGGCAGAGGGAGGTTGAGCGGGTGGCTGCCCTCCCGAAGCCTCGGGGGTAGTAGGGCCGGGGTTGAGTCGGTCGTTGAGGGCTGGAGGATGACGCCGTGGTCTCTGGATCGATCCCGGGCCACACCACTACCACTGCCACCACTACTACTACCGTTACCTTCACCACCAGCAGCACCACTACTGCTGGAACAGGCACCTCGACCCGTTGCAACCACCGAGCACCGGCTAACTACCCCTCGTAGACACACACGCGGATCTCCTCTGTCGTCGTCGTCGTCGTCGTCGTCATTCGTTCGTTCGCTCGTTCGTGCGCCGCTTTCTCCCTCTCTCTTTGTGCGTGATCCACGCCGTTGCACTCGCGTGTCGCTGAGTGTCGCTGGAGCGTGTCACGCGTGTGCGCCGACTCATGCATAGATATCAAGTGCATGCGTCAGGGATAGACGGGGAATTCCTAGCCGCCCGCGTGTACATGTGCGAGCATTGATGATCGTAGAAGGTGTGAATGTTTTACGTGCGTGTCTGGTTTAACTCCGGTAAAGTGGATGGGTGAATAGAGAGAGAGAGAGAGAGAGAGAGAGAGAGAGAGAGAGAGAGAGAGAGAGAGAGGGAGAGGGAGAGAGGGGAGGTATTATGATAAAGAAATTATGCTAACGAAGACGCACAAAGAAATTGCAGCTCCCGTTTCCCTCACGATCGCAGTTGTATTTAATCTTTCTTTTTTCATTCTTTCGAGACAACGACGCGCGTATCGGCATGGATATTAATATTTAAAATGGAAATGAAATACTTGCATTAAAGCGCGACGTTAAGGTGCAATTAAATATTTAAATATCAAAACGGAAGAACTTATGGGAAGCATTAAAGATTAAAATTTAATTTGAATATATTTGCGCGCGCGCGCGTCCGCCCGCGCGAAAGTAGTGGGATCGAGTCCGAGTCCCGTCTCATTCTTAAATTACTACGATTTCCATGCGCGCCTTCTGTAGGGAATAATCCACGGGGACGGAGAGAAGCAGGTGTTCCGCGAGGAGCTCGTAATTCTCTCTTTTCTTGCCTCGCCTTGCCTTCGTGAACAGAAATTCCGAGCGTTTGGTCATCGATCTCGCATTGCGATTCCGCGCTGATCGAGCGGTATCTCGAGAGGCTTCGATCATCACTTCGCATCCATCTTTCGCGACGTTATTGTGTATCGGTCTATCTTTTCGGGGTCGAGTCCGCTGGCTGAGATCTCGGACGTGCGCGCGCGGTCGGACATGTGTCGGGGAACGATGAATAGCCGAATGACGAGCTAATTTTGGGATGTCGGATGTCCTCCAACGTTCTTCCAGATGACATTGATGAGTTTATAGCCGACGTTAATGAGGCGTCTCTCTCACGGTATTAAGTCTCTCTCTCTCCCACACACACACACACACACACACACACACACACACACACACACACACACACACACACACACACACACACACACACACACACACACACACACACACACACACACACACACACACACATACACACATACACAACCGCCTACGCACACGCTCTCTTTCTTTCTCGCTCTGTACAGAGTACAATAGTAGTGGTCAGTACATGTGTTCTATTTCGTTTCTACCTAGGAATTGTCTTCAGGATTTTATTTTGTCCTTTCTAGCTTCTATTTTCTGTTCTCGGTTTACATAAAGCGCTGTGGAATTGTGAGCTTTTTTGTTATGCCACTGTTTGTCAAAGTATGTTTTCAGACTACTTCTTGGCGAATATTAGAACTAAAATATTAGAACAGTTTACAAATCTCCATTTAAATTTTGTCATAAACAGGTTACTTTGTGTGTGAAATTTTACAATTCAACGTAGCGCCTAGTTAAGTGTAACAACATAGGGCCTAATTAGGCCACGTAAGGCGTACCAAGATAGAACCTAGTTAGGTATACTAAGATAGATTGGCTAAATGTACCAAGATAGAACCTAGTTAGATTTACAAATCTGGCTCTAGTTTTCACGAGTGTTATATTTCTGTGCAGGACCTAAGTGGGTTTGCCTTTGCAGTGCCTAGACAAAAGTGGGGAAGAACTGTATAGGCCCTCTTTAAAATTCCTACTCGGGATGTTACGCGCCGGTGCAGCAGAGCTAGAAGAAAGTGACGTAGAAGAAGGATTATTTGGAGTAAGTTGTGTTTTTCTCTATTATTTGCTTCGTACAGTTACAGTCATCACATATAACTACCTGGTTTTCACTCAATTAATTGCTATTATTCTCTATATTAGCAACATGAGTATGGAAGTCCGGGTACTAAATACCGTATATTTTAGAATTTCAAAGTTACAACTTCTCAGGCAACCAATTGCTGTGACTGTATAAACATGATAGAGGCAACTTTCTTCTACATATTAATGCCATGCTGCAATCTCGTATATTTTGTTTTATATTTATAACCGTATACATTGTTTTAAAATTTATTTCACATATTATATGTGACAATTTTCACAGAGCCAATTCTCCCGCGATGCGCGTTTGGTCCTCGAAAGCGAGGCGTTTCCGCGCGATCTACCGCAACACCTAAAATCTTGCCGTCTCCCTGTTTTGCATCGAGAATTTATGCGAACCTCAAAATTTTCTCGCGCCAAGCGTGTCGGTCGGATTTGCCCCAACGTCGTTACGTGACGTGCCTTGAAACGCGCGCGCGAGATCGTAACGACGACGGAACGAGCCGGCCGCGGAGCGAAAATTCCCCGGTATTAAGTCGCCGCTAATTCCCACGAAGACAATAACACTTCTTCTTCGTGGCCACCTTCCCAACTGTGCCCTGGCCGAGCCATTTCGTGGTCCAGGTAGTCGGAAGTTACCTCATATTTATCGCGACCGTTCCGCCAGCTCCGCAGGGCCGAAGGGCTCGTGCAACGAGCGCGCGCACACTCGCATTCACCCGCGTATTCCGAGGCGAGGAAAATTATTTATTTAAAGAGCAGCGCGCCCGAGAATTTCTGTTCCTCGAATAGAAATTCTGCAGCGAGTCAATTTCCATTCCAGGAATCCGGCCGCGATCTGTGCGCGCGAGCTTTGACATTAAATTACATCGATACTGAATTCATGCGAAACGTGTACGTCCCGTCGAATGCAATGTCGATGTGACGGAAAAGCATCGCCGAATCAAAAGTGACGAGGCTGTGCTTCGAGGCGTCAGCGTGGCGGAATAAATGCGAGCTCCACGACGAAAACACGAAGCCGTAGATCATTGAGCCGTGAGATGAAAGCGACCGCATTCGTCGAAGCGTTATCCGTCGGTTTTGTCGTACGTTGAACCACTTGGTAATAAAATCTCGATTCTCTTTCCGCGATTCTCTACCAGCTTGCAGCGAACGCAATAATTCGTCATATGATATGAATCGATATGGCATGGCCAATCTGATACACGTTTCCGAAATGTCGAGGAAATGCGAAAATGGGTCGATGAATGGATTGCCTCAAAAGATGAGTCATTTCATCGGCGCGGGATCAAACTGTTGGCCGAAAGATAACAAAAGGTTATTGATGGCAACGGTCAATATTTGATTAAAATATTGTACCTCATTGTTATTAATAAACAAAATGGCTTTAATATCATATTTTGCAAGCACCTAATACCGTTATGTTTTTTTAAACATTGCGTTTGAATACAAAAGCAGATATAGCTGTCTTATAATTAATTTAATTATTCTTCTTTGTATATTTTAATATAATTTACAATATTCTTTCTATGTAATTTATATTGTTTACGTAAACAAGATGAAATGATGTGAATACATCACGTAAACATTCACGTACCGTAATTTTGAAATAAACGGCATGCAAAGGACTCACGTTTGGGACGAGAGAATGGAATTTCCATCGTAATATCGTAGTAGGATGATCAATTTTGAGGCCAATTTTACATTGTAATCGGAATCTTCGCTGTATCCGGGAGAACCTTGAGAAATTTCTACGCGGGACGAGGGGGAAGGAGAGCGAAAATCGGACGTGGAGCACTAATCGCGTCGTTCGCGGCTTGCGCGCGATTGAATCGAACCTTCTTCGCGAAACTTACGCGACGCGAAATTGCGAAGCTCGCCGCTACCATTGCTGTCGCAGCCGCGCGAGAAGCCGCCATCTTTCGATGTGTAGTTTGGTAAGAGGATTTCCGCCTTTGCGCGAACGATGCACGCCGAGGCGTATTCAATTTTCTGCTTTTGTCCGCTCCTAATTACGAATTTCGTAGCTGTAATGTTGTTAGAAGTTGACGCGCGCTCGCGCCTCGCCTCGCTTGCACGGTTCCGACGTTTGCGTCTCCCGTAATTCGCTTAATAATGTAATTTACATCGTAATAAACCTTTCACTCAGCACCGTAAACTTCGCCCGATATTTCTTTGTGTTCCGCATAATTTAGCGTTTCTAAGGGGCCCGATAACTGGCGTAATATTAAATCATTCGCGATATAATGATACTCTGATCGTACAGCTCGCACGAGCTCGTAAGAATATCGATGAGACGTTAATTAACATTCTGATTTAGCGCGACTACTCGGTAGTTAAAGCAACAAGATTCTATGAACGTTTTAATACAAGGGAACAAGGGAGGGAGATAGTGTCAACCTTCTCCCCGTGACACTTCGCGATGTCGCTTTTATCGAGTTAACCAAGGCGGATTATCAGAAGTGATACACTTCAGCCGGCAGTCCGCATAGTCGAGCAGGCGAGCTAGATAGCAGGGAGTCTGCTTCATTATCTAATTTAGTGCCACCCCCGGAGAACGCTTGCGGCACATCGGCTAACCCATTCGATCCTTTTTCGCCTCGGGCTCCCGAGGGACAGGGATAATTTAAGTCGCGTCGAGCAGGAAACTCGTGGTGTAACGCGAACGAAGTTAAATATCTAAATTTCTTCGCTAACCCCGCAGGAAAAATTCGACGATCCGTCGTCCTCCCGACGAGAGCCATGTGTCCCTTCCCTTCTGAAGAAAAAAGAGCGCGACTTCTTGGCTAAATAATCGACGAATACCGCGCGCGTAGGATTTGCCACCATTTCGCCTTTTCTCTCTCTCCCCTTCTCTCTCTTCTTCTCCTTCGATATTTCATACGTCCTTGTTTCCGTTGCGAATGGGATATCAGGGAGAATGTGCGGCGCGCTGGGAAATTTGCGGTCGGAATACCAAAATGTCGAAAACGCCACCGCCGAAGGACTAATTAGTTTGTTTTCCCCTCAGCGGAGTAGTGTGCCGATTATTGACTTTCCTGTGAATCATCGGTCACGCTTATCGAGCGTGTAATGTCCGTCGTATGCGGCTTCTCTATCGCAGTCGAGTGTAAATATTAACGTTGACGCATTCAATACGTTCGCCGACCGCGTCCTATCTCGTCCGTATTCTCGGACAATGCGTCTTCAAGTCGCGGAATTCTATCAAGAATTAAAGTATCATTTCTCCAATGATCCAAATTTTACGAGCCGAAGGCGTACCTCTGATCGGATTGTTTTATGAGCAAGAAAAGTTGGAGTAATTAAAAAGTTTGAGTAATTAAAAGAATCATGTTCGGGATTATGTTTGTGACAACTGAAATTTGGTTGATTAAACGTGCATTTTAGCGACATTATTTTTTGCTGGCAACGAAAATTGAATAAAAAACGCACGATTAAAAAACGCGACTTACGGTATCTTGAAATTCTACGTAAGCGCAGAGAATTTTTCTCAAAGATACAAACACTTGTGATGAATTGAAATGCAGCCTCTCGTGTGAGACTGAAACGTATAAAAGGATTGATCTGCAGTCGTTCTGAAATTACCGGAAATTCCGCGGTTCGATTCTCAGCGAACGTTGCCCCGGTCGAGTTTTATTGGAGAATAAAATACTTTTAGCAGCCCTTCGAGCCGGAAGTAATGATCCCCTACATAGAAAGCACTTTGGGGGTAGCATTAAACGCGTGCGGGATCTCATTGTGCCGCGCGCTATTTCCCGCGAATTTCCCTAGGAACCGTCTGGAAATCGGCGGTTTCCGCGAGCTACGCGGCGGCAGCGGCGGCGGCAGCGGCGGCGGCAGCGGCGGCGGCAGCGGCGGCGGCTGGTAACCACCAATTAAGTTACCAGTCGATTCCAGCCGGTTTCGCAGTTTCGCAAGCAGCCACGTTGCACTTAATAAATCCGTTACGGCGGCGTGACACGCTGCTCAAGGGTCGTTGCCTTCGTCGTTGCGAGTCTCTCAATTGAAATTTCACCCCATCCGGTGTGGGGGAACTTTGCCCGCGTGAATTTTCCAAGAAAATCCCTCTCGCTCCCGGTTTTTTCTAAAGTATTTTAATAAAGTATTTTATGCAATATTACGGCCAAGTTTCACGGTGTTCAGATTCCTCGCGATTTTTTTAAATTATTTAATCAGCGACCGGTGGGTATTAAATCTTGAATCGTCGGATACCAGACGAGACGGGACGAGACGAGACGAGAAGAGGAGAGAAGAGTACAGAAGAGAGCTTTCAGGCGCGCAGCTTCGCGCAGCTTCGCGCAGCTTCGCGCAGTCACACGCGCGTTTGTGCTTTGCGGTGCTGGCTTGCGTCGGGTCGGCTGTGTGCGAACACACACGTGTACGTGCGTGTGAGCGAGTGAGCCGGCGTCTATATGCATCCATTTCTGAGGGCAAATGGTGAACACGATTTCCGAGCATAATTTCCTCGGATTACGTTGAATCCAAATCCAGGTTGCGTTCTGCCTAGAAGAGGAACAGACAGACAGACAGACAGACAGACAGACAGACAGACAGACAGAAAGAGAGAGAGAGAGAGAGAAAGAAAGAAAGAGACGACTTAAATGAAGTAAATAAACTGAAATGAAGAAGCTGACCGAACGAGAATAAATAGGCTTACCGTAATCTGGATTAAAGCGTAAATCTAAATTGCTCTCACGAGCCGATAAATAAATAAAATGTTTGTCAAAAATAATTTTGAACCGCGGCGTACCGTGGAGATTTTATGCGTACGCTTCTATTTGTGCAAGTATACGTATGCATCGCTCCTGTTTATCAAATTAAATTGCAATGTAAATACATTTGGCGTATCATTTCGGTATATTAACGTATGTGTTAATTATTTACACACACATTCATCGGTTCAATAGCGGCTCGGCAGAATTTTAGAAATTGTAGTATGACGAGAATATATCATCGAAA